CCTTACTTCTGGAGGCTGACATGTCTGATTCCAGGGTAAGTATGGATTTCAAGGAACCACTCATGGGTTAAGCTTCTACATTAGGTGAGCTGGTAGCCTATCCTTCACAGTTGAAGGCCATCAGCTGAGATGCCAACCCATATGATTTTATCATATTCCTTACGAAAAAACAACACAAAATACACAACTACGATAGCAGTAAAAATATACAAATTTTTAGAAAAATACATTAAATTAAATTATCCAATATCATACGTACCATACACAATAAATTTCAACATTTTATTCAGTATCAAGCTATGTGTGGATACTTACTACTGATTTAGGCAAGTACAATGTTAATAACAAATTCGCATGATATCTATGTATTTTTTATCAAATAAGAAATTTCTTTGGGAAAGTTAATACTAATTTTGGCCAGAAAATACTAATTTTTGCATTATTTTTTTGCCAAAATACTAATTGGGATAAATAAGGGATGGCATCTCTGCATCAGTAGCTAGTTTAGGTGAGATGTTGCCCTTCTAGGGCTATATGACAGGGACAAAGTGACTTGTGATGTTTATACTGGAAATGTTTCTCATTCTTATGAAATCTCTCCTCAATAAGTTGTGAAAGCTATTTCTTAAACCTCACACTAAAACCAATAACATGAGCTGGTGCTAAAATAGATGACTGATTAAATCTTGTAAAATCTACTGCTTTAAGCATAAGTAACTGTTCCCAATACCATAGTCAATCTAAGTGATGTTATGTGTATGTAATTTTAGTGGCTGCAGAAGTTTTTGGAAATATGTGTACTTAATGTGCTCATAAAATATCTTTGACTGTTGTGGTCAGATTTAATAGTGGTCTGCAGTAGTGAGTACTCTGGAGTTTTCTGCCTTTGTGACTACTTGAGAGAGTTTAAAAGATGATGTCTCCGATATACTGATCTACTCACATGCACACACTGCTAGAGCAAAACTAGTTGGACGGAATACACACACCATGACACTCACTGTCAAGGAATATCTAGGCTGACACAGGAATTCTGCATAAGCATTCAAACATTTCCGACCACCCAATCATGAAAATATTCACAAATCTGTTCAGATTGTCTTTACACAAGAAACATACACATATCATGTCCCTAGCCACTGGTCATTAGATTACTGACAGTGAAGAGGTAACTGATGAAAAATCTTAACGTTTCTTGAACATGTAAACAACCAAAATAGAAATTATGGCTTTTGTCTGATAGAGGTAGAATATTCAAAGGAATGATCTAAAATATTCATGTACCTTGTCATTACCACTATTTGCTATTACAGATTACTCTTCCCACTGAAACAAATCCTCAAAATTTGGGATAAAGATGCAGTCATAATATAATCCTAGAAAAGGAATAAAAACTTGGCTGTTCACAAACACCTTGTTGAAATAGAAAGCAATAGGAGACATGTATTAATTTACTCTTGTGTTGTGTCAACAGTTCCAGGGGCTGATCCTTTATCACAAGAGCACAGAATGAGTTTTTTTTCTGCACCACCATACTGAAAAAAAATGCTTATTATAAATTCAGATGACCCTCCCAATGTTCCTGTTGAATATTTCGTGACCCTCTCCAACAAAAAAAACAGGCAAAAGGACTTTTTCTTCACATCCCCTGTCCCGTCCCCTCACTGACACACCTCAAAATATACACTTTCAAGACCCACTCCTAGAAAGTGTCATACTTTTGGTTGACCCTCACCTGATACCCTGTGATAAACCCACCCCTATAATACATGACCAGTCCCTAACTCAACTTAATACATTTACTTAACATTATTCATTCTACTACCAGTGTTAAACAAAAGAAAGCTAAGGGGACCAACATTTGATCCTCTTGGTTGTGAAATGAAATTTATATATAGGTCCATCTCCTATTCTCGCGGGTTTCCTATTCTCGCGGTAAACACGTTTTCTGACGAAATCGCCGATGTGCGACACTTAACGGTTGTTTACATCACCGACTGGTAACTAGGAAGTTGCCCAAGTCTGTGAGTGATCAAAATCTTGCAGTGTCACGAATATTGGGGAGTTTATACCAACTTGGACATATCATTACTTTTTCCCGCCCTTTCCGGCAGGATTGCTCTTACATACACTCAATAACGTTAATTCCTGGTAATAATCGCGAGAATGGGAGAAGCCTCGTTTCGTCAATGGCGGATGGCATTGTTTATCACCGGGCTCACGAGTGGTAATTTACCTGATGGATCTGGCAGCTGATAGATGTAGATGTTAGAGGAGAAGGCCCTTCATTTAAAAACAACAAGCATGAATACGATAAGAATTGTTTCTGTTATTTTTTCAGCTGATATCTGTAAGTACCGCGAGAATAGGAAACGCCTTCCTACTTTCTAAATAATAATAAAAATGAAACAGTTTGTCCACGGTTTTTTTTACCACCTTCACCCAAACATTGGATGTCCTGCAGAAATAATCAATTTTTCACCACCCTTCATATGAATCAGTGTCTGTTTTATATATGTCACTATGTTTTATATGAGTCTAAGCCCCCTACAGAATATTTAGTGGCCGGTCCTTTGGCAACAACAAAAATCCCACATTTACAAAACATTATACCAGCAATATACATTCTGTCCATGGTCAAGAGTAAAATATCCGGTCTGTCATACTTGTACTGAGTGACCATAGTGTGAGCTGACACATTCTCTGACTTTTGTATTTTGAATCATCCAACTATCCATTAATGGACAAACAAATAGACATATACTCATGGAAACGCATAAGGGAACACATAAAAGTACAAGTGTTCCTTATTCTTTTCCAGAATGTCACCCACAGTGAAATACAAAGCTTGTTAAGAAATCTGGAAAAGAACACTTTTACTTTCAGGTGTTTACTTATTAATTTCCATGAGTATATATATTTACACATAACAAAACAATTCTGCAGAACTTGCATTTACAATCACACCATTCTTCCCTATATTCTATCATTCATTCATTGATCTGTTAACTTCTGTTTTTCACACAGCACTGGAACATTTCTACGTCTTCCAGTCATCATGACAATTCAGAAATAGGCACTGGGGAAATGGTAAGAGAAAAGTCAAAATCTACATAATCTACAAGACACTTCACAGACTTAACAGCCCATACATATTAACAATATACATATTAACAAATCAGGGACTTGGAACACACAGAAAATAAATTCATATATTGCACCAATGAATAAGTATGGTTTTAACACCGCTTTAAGCAACATTCCAGCATTCCATGGCTGGGGACAGAGTTGTTTGTATGAATGACACAGATGGCACAGACATAATATAAATAGAATATGTCCCATATATACATGAAAACCATGTCCCATTTCGTAAGTAAATATTGATAACATGCAACCATCACCTGGCAACACATTTAAAGCAAATGACCGATTTGAAAGATACATTTTAAGTCAAAGGCTTTTTACATGACTTCAAACACATGCTTTTACATTTTAGGTGATTCAAGTTGAAAAGTCCATACCCAGATAGCATTCAGACGTTGGCCCAATGTTGGCAATGGTTTTGCCAACATTGCCAACATCCGAATGCTATCTGGGTAGTTGGTTGATGGTTTATATTTCTGAACATTCTTAATGAATTTCTGAATGAGGAACCGACATGTTAAAATCATTTATCGCAAGCTGCAAGAAGATATGATAACTGCAGCTATGTCAAATCAAGGTAGCGTAATAGGATTAAGTCAGTATGATTTTACATCTCTCTTAGCAATATTCAATTCATCATGCCAGAAGTGTGCTTTGCACATTATAGCCATGTAGGGAATTCAAACCAGGACTACCCTACCTCAACCTTGTAGTAGGAACACTTGATGTACTCCTTGAAATTTGTCAACTTACAGCATGGTGTAACAAAAACACTGGCATCACACAAAAATAACTGGTACTTGACAGATTATTCTATTCTATTTTTTATTAGTTGGTTTAGAAAAAAATGGCCCAAAATTCAATGTTGGCAGTCAATAAATTCAACCTAGCATTGCTACTAATGAATGAAAAGAACAAATTGCAAGATATTGAAGACAATTGATCTTTAGAATATAGACTTTTATACGCAGTAGTCAATATTTCTTACATACAGTGGAGATAAAGTCTTATGTGTTTTTATGCTTCACCTGTCAAAAATCAGCCAAGGAAAGGTAAAAGGTGTACCTGTTTTTTTCTGTGTGATTGTAAAGAAGCATTTGAGTCAAGATATAGTACTCTGATGCTCCTATTATATATCATGTAAAAGACCTGTAACAATTCTACATACACAAAACTGTAATGGTTACTCAGGGAGATTTTAAATCCTCTATATCTCTAGGCTTTGCATTTTGGTAAACTAACACAAAACCCATGATCCATTCCTTGATCTAGGATTATCTCCCCTTGATTTTTCACTATGCCATTGTGGACATAACGAAAAGGGGTAAGGGAGGTAACTCATGTTCAATAGTAACGAAAGGTCCTGAAAAGTTTATGGGAATTCTTTTGAGTGTCAGTCAGGGGCTGCATTTTGAATTTGAATTTCTCACACCAGAAACATGGTCATTGAGAAAACAAAATGTTGTTCATGAGACGTAATATACTGGTCAGTGCTATCAGACAGACAGTCTCAAGCTGTGGAATCAGTATGACTCCTAAGTTTCCAAGACATTTGTTCCTGTCCAGTTACTTAACTGGCAACATTAAGCTGATAATCACAAACAACTTATGTATGCTATGTGATCTGAAAACAATCTCTCCATAATCATGTTAAACAAAAGAACTCTTATCATGACAACATACATTATATGTCACATTTAAAGAAGAGGCATATAACTAACAGTGCATGCTATTTTCAACTAACGTGTACATGGTGACATGACCAATGACGAGGAGCCTCATTCTGAATAGAGAATCATGGCATCCTCATGTACATTAAACACGTTCGCAGTTGAAGACTAACTTTTATGTTAATTCCTGAATTGCCAGTCAAGTACATGTCTGTAACAAACAATACACCTTAGACCTAGCAACACAGCTAGTCAAATTAGCAAACAGATATTAAGCATGGCTAATTTGAGCTTACAAGAACAATGGTATTCATAGTTTCAGGGATGGTGGAGGTTTACCATAATGATAGCCATCAAGGTAATTTGAGTTTGATTTTTCTGCCGCTTTTAGCAATATTCCAGAACAATGGGGACACCAGGAATGGGCTTTCACATTTTGCCCATGTGGGGATGGTGGAGTTTACCATAATGATAGCCATCAAGATAGAGAGGATGATCTTACTGATGCTTGTCCAAATGTTTTTCTGATCAGACATGAAGAGGTCACTGTCTAAGTCAGCTATGGCTATTCATAACAATAATGAAATTTAGTTATTTCAAATCTTTCCCTGGATATTTTGTTAATCTTTATTTTCTGTTGAAGACCTTTTTTCAAATCTTAAGAAGTTATCTAAGAGCACATATTTTAAAAAAACCCATTGAATTCAGAGAGAGATGTATTCATATTGTTTTTCCACGAATGGATCTGCCAAAAACATTTACTTTTTGTTTCCAATTTCTTCAATAATGGATCTGGCAAATCCGCTACCTGTATGTAACAACCATTCTGGTCTGGTGAACCTGAGTTCAATTCCATACATAAACTCTTGGAATGCTGATATTTTCACCTGATCATGATAGTCATGCACATATACCAGTGGTCAATGACAATGTCAATCATGTTCATAATGTCATGTTTATGACATCACTTGAAAGACATCACGATATGCCTGAAAAACACACACTTCACTCTCATTCATCATGAACTTCCACAAAACCATGACCACAAACACACTTATCATACTGATAACTATTCAACCGTTTCCTTTCCGAGGTGGAGTTTGAAACAAAGTGGTCAGCTCTCCCGTCCCCTCTCCATCAGAGCAGGAGTAATCATCTGTGGAACCATGGAGGACAAACTTGCGTATCGTCTTTTTGACAGCCTCATCCGTATCACTGGCTTGTCGTCGCCGCACATTGAGGTAGATGGAAAGGAGGGTGATGTTGATGATGATGCTGACAGCTGCAATGATGCCCAGGGTCACAGAACTTGACACACACAATCTGAAATGTAACAGTGTTCATACAAGTTCCGGACAGATCCTACTTTGTTCAACAAAGTTACCACGGTTATTTGGGATTCAAAAATACCAAAAATAGTTTGATCTCATCACAGACAAGAATTTCAGGACAGAGTGTTTATTCCACAAAGTTACCAAAACTATATTTTTTCTATTCATCAAAATCCAAGAATTAAACATTCTATATTTTAATTCATATAATCATATTGCATGTGCATAATGTTCTTCAATTACAATGCCCATCAAGAATTAAACATTCTGACTTTTAGCAATATTCCAGCAACATGCAGGGAACATCAGATATAATCACATATTGTACCCATGTGGCATAATGTTCTTCATCGCTTTAACCAATGCCATTGCATGGAAAAAGAATGAGATCACTGAGATCCAAATGTGCCAAAATTAAAACAAAACATGAAAAAGCTCACAGCTATTACAAATTTATTATTGAAAAAGAAAATGAGCAAACTATAGTACTGTCGGAAATAGAAAAAAACTGTATTTTCTCATTTATCTCTACAATTTATGTAGTTGATATGTGAAAGTCTGAAATATCTGTTAAACTAAGTTCGGCCTAACAACAATCTCATTGGTAGAGAGATAGGAAACAGAGAAAAAGGACTTTACTGAGGGGAAATTAGTGCAGAAATGAGCAATGCGGTTTTTTCTAAGTCCAAAAAGACTTTCTTGGAACAGACCATGGCTTTATGCAAATTAGTGCTTTTAGCATGAATTATACTGGGGAGGTACACGCACGTCATAACAATTTACAATTAATATCCAGTCCTGTCGATCTTCCGGTGGTCAAGCCACCTATATACTACGATGCGTTTCTATGGTTTTCGGGTATCATACTCTCTTACATATCTCAACATAAACTTTATGAAAGAAAGACACGTAAGATGTTAATCAGTAGATGAGACATAGTCAACACACATGAAAAAAGCACAAAATATCTTTGAGATGACCCCTTGTGCCTGTAGGCAGCACGTGCATTTCATGCCAGGTGAGTCGACGGTCCATCGTCATACCTGGCTGAGCGACCTAATTGCCATCTATAGTCTGATCTATTGTTTTCAGCAGCTGTTCAGTATTTTTCTAAGATTTTGCCCGATTTTACGGTAAACATGCTTTTCTGGATATCGTGATTACGCATGCCACTGAACTTCCAGTTAGGCGAGAAGTGGGTTATTTCGACATATGCTATTTGCAATTGTGTAATAGCTTGATTACATGTAACTGACTAACATTTACTTCCATAAATTTTTCATTCAGCAAATTTGATAGGAATTTCTGCTACCTGGGAATTCAACTTGAAAACATCATCAAAGTAGGGTCCTGTTTGTTGAAAGCCACACTCAGCAATATTCCAGTTATAAGATGGTGGACGAAAACTAATCCAAGTTTGGATTAGGGTCAGGTTACACAAAGCAATCTTAACTACGTATCATTGGAGATACTATCAGCTTAGCACTAAGATTGCTTCATAGACCAGGGCCCATACGATCAAGTGATTCAATTATGTGATGGCATTAGGGTATGGTGATGTACCATACACTGAGCATGACCGCTTGATTAATCTGGTCTTATACATGACCAGTACAAGCTGCTGGGGACCAGTGCTAATCTGGAATCTCAATGGGCGTCACCTCCTACAATCAGCATAATTTGCTGTGAACCTACTACAGCCGGGAATCTGTAGGTCAACATTACCTGTACTGATCCGACTGGTCCACCACCAGGTGCTGGGACTTGATCATCTCCTGGGCCATACAGCTACCAGCTGCAGAGACATCAGCACACAAAACTAAAGTCAGGTGAGGTAAAATGGTGATGTGAGGTGGAATGGTTTTGTTTGCATGTTGCTTAACGCCAGACTCAGCAATATTCCAGCTATATGGCAGTGGTCTGCAAATAAATCGAGTCTGGACCAGATAATCCTGAGATCAACAGCATGAGCATTGATCCATGCAACTGGGATACAATGACATGTCAACCAAGCCTGACCACTCTACCCTGTTAGTCGCCTTTTAGGACAAGCATGAGTTGCTGAAGGCCAATTCTAACACAGATATTTCAATTCTAATTATGCATAAAATTCCCTGAATGTTAATAATTTAAATGCCAATTATAAGAAATGTTCAAACTGACATGTGTACTTTCAACTCCTTTCAATTCTGATGGGTCCTTGAATTTTCAGTTGATGGGACTTTACATTTGAAATATTCATAATGAACACACTTACTATGGTGAATGGTGAAGTGAGGTGAAATATATGGTGAAATTATGTGAAATGGTGAGGTGAGGTGCAATGGTGAGGTGAGGTGCAATGGTAAGGCAAGGTGGAATGGAGAGGTGAGGTGCAATGGTAAGGTAAAATGGTGAGGTGAGGTGCAATGGTAAGGTAGAATGGTGTGAGGTAAAATGGTGAGGAGAGGTTGAATGGTGATGTGAGGGAATGGAGAGTGATGTGAAATGGAGAGGTGAGGTGCAATGGTAAGGAGGAATGGTGAGGTGAAATGGAATGGAGAGGTGAATGGAATGGTGAGGTGGAATGGTGGAATGTGAAATGATGTGAGGAAATGGTGAGGTGAGGTGGAATGGTGAGGTGTGAAAGGTGATGGAATGGAATGGTGATGTGAGGTGGAATGGTGATGTGAGGTGGAATGGTGAGGTGAGGTAGAATGGTGAGGTGAGGTGCAATGGTAAGGTAAAATGGTGAGGTGCAATGGTGATGTGAGGTGGAATGGTGAGGTAGAATGGTGATGGTGAGTGAGGTGCAATGGTAAGGTAGAAATGGTGAGGTGAAATGGTGATGGTGAGGTGGAATGGTGATGGTGTGGTGTGAAATGGTGAGGTGAGGTGCAATGGTAAGGTAAAATGGTGAGGTGAAATGGTGCAATGGTGAGGTAAAATGGTGATGTGAGGTAAAATGGTGAGGTGAGGTAAAATGGTGAGAGGTAAAATGGTGAGGTGAAATGGAATGGTGAGGTGCAATGGTAATGGTGAATGGTGAGGTAAAATGGTGAGGTGAGGTGCAATGGTAATGTAAAATGGTGAGGTAAAATGGTGAGGTGTGAGGTGCAATGGTGAGGTAAATGGAATGGTGAGGTAAAATGGGTGAGGTGAGGTGCAATGTGGAATGGTGAGGTAAAATGGTGAGGTGCAATGGTGAGGTAGAATGGTGAGGTAAAATGGTGATGGTCTGAATAAATGAGTAAGATAAATGGTGAGGTGAGGTGCAATGGTATAGCGAGGTGAGGTAAAAGAGATAAAAAATTAAATTTTACATGCCTGAAATTTATTCTTAAACAAAGACAGCTCATTATTATTAGGATAAATATTTTCAACACATAATTCTCCAAATAACACTGATCCACCACCCAAAAATGACATGATCACCTTGTTGGTAGTTGTGGAAAATCTGTGATGTTTGCTTCCCTGTAGAGTTGCAGGATCCTGTGATGTGATCACAGAAGCAGGAAGTGTCGCAGTTGCACACACTAGCGCATCTAGCACCATAGAAGCCATATGGACACGCTGCAATATAACAAGAACTGGTTACAGCACCATAGAAGCCATGTGGACACACTGCAATATAACAAGAACAGGTCATAATTGCAAAGCTGCTACCGCTGCGTTGTAAAGATTACATAATGTCAATGTTCAATCCTGGCAATGTTATTTTCAATATATTCCTGTCACCAAGTTATTTCACTACTCACCAGAGAATCCCGGTGAACAATCACAGTACCCAGTTAAAGAGTCACACCGACCGACCGACCTGACTGACAGAGCTCCCCAGAGAATCCCGGTGAACATTCACAGTACCCAGTGACTGAGGCACACCGACCGACCTGACTGACAAAACTCCCCAGAGAATCCCAGTGTACAATCACAGTACCCAGTGACTGATGCACACAAACCTACCTACCTGACAGAGCTCTCCAGAGAATCCTGGTGAACAATCAAACTATCCAGTTAAAGAGTCACACCAACCTACCTGACTGACAGAACTCGCCAGCGAATCCCGGTGAACAACCGCAGTGCCCAGTGACGGAGTCACACAATCCTCCGTTCTGACAGCAGCACTGCATGGAACAGTTGAAGCCATACCTCCCAGCTGGACAGGGCAGTGAGCAGTTGGTGCTGTACCAGCCTTTGTCACACACACAGCCATCTGCAACACACATAATACCGTGGATGGAATTAAGAGACAAACATTACATATTTTCAGTTTCAAACTACACCTGCTATTCTGAAAACAACATGTTTGCAGACAGTGTGATGAGAAACATTACCCATAAATCTTCAGTAATCTCATAAATTTGAAACCATGTCCATTATATTACCAAGCTGAAATTCAGATATTTGCACGGCACTGTATTTCCAACATTGATGACAAACTAACGGATTGGGGGATGGAGAGCATGAAAAAAGAAGACAGCAAATCACACTGGTTTTACGAAAGATCATTCTCTTCACTCTGACATGAAAAAGCTACATATGATATTCATTCATTGAGAAACACAAAAATAAATTCCTGTCTTAATATGATGAACAACGATGAAGATTTTGTTGTCAGTTTCCCAAGGAGCAAAGATGAAGCAAGATATAAAAAACAATGAAAATTCCTCTAAAGGCTGATTTCAGACCAATATTTAAAACAAAGATACAAAGAAACGGCATTCAAAATAACTCCAGCTTCCATCAAACACATTAAGAACAAATTATGTTTTTAATTTTTAAAAATTTTTTAATAAACAAAAGACAGTGATATGGCGTTAGGCATTTTATGCATTGAACAACAATCCATGACAACCCCACCTGACGTGCATGTTCCATGTCCATTACAATCCTGTGGACACTGCAGCCTGTCACATGCTCGCCCTGACCAGTGACCTGTGCAGTTACATACTCCCAGCTCACAGCTGCCATGCCCTGAACAGTCTTCAGGGTCACAGTCTGGGTCATGTACACACACAGGATAGTGCTCACTCGGCGCTCACAGTTGAACATCTTGTCTGGACTGTATGAACAGGAACAGAGCTTTAGCATTTCATCAGTTCATCTCTTTCAGAGTGAGTGATTGAGGCATCGAGTGAGTGAGGCAGTAAGGCAGAGAATGAGTGAGGCAGTGAGTGAGGCAGAGAGTGTATGACTGAGGCAGCAAGCGAATATGTGAGAGAGTGAGTGAGTAAGGCAATGAATGAATTAGTGAAGCAGAGACGGATTGAGGCAGAGAGTGAGTAAGGCAATGCATGAATTAGTGAAGCAGAGAATGAGTGAGTGAGTGAGGCAGAGAGTGAATGACTGAGGCAGCAAGAGAATATGTGAGAGAGTGAGTAAGGCAATGAATGAATTAGTGAAGCAGAGATTGAGTGAGGCAGCAAGTGAGTGAGGCAGTGAGTAAGTGAATGAGCATAGGTAGATCCAGAAGGGGGGTGCACACACACCCTTTTGTCCTGAAAGTTTAGTAAATAACTATTGAAACTCTCATGAAAACGAGTAAAAATTAACTGCACCCACTATTTCTCAAAAAAGATGTCTCCGCCCCTGGTGAGCTGGAAGTGAGTGAATGAGTGAAGCAGAGAGTGAGTGAGGCATCAAGTGAATATGTGAGGCAGTGAGCGAGTAACCCAACATTCACAACCAAAATTACATTCAGTGACTTAACAGTGGCAATCAAACTGAGTGAGTGTCACTGACAACCCAGTAATACAGTGAGTGACAGAATAACAGACTGATAGAATGATAACAAAAATCAGTTAGGTCGTAAGCCAGCAGTGTCGCCCAATATTACAGTGAGTGAGTAACTAAACACAGACAACCTAAATTTCAGAGAGTAATAACTCACTGTCTGTCATAACAACCTGTTGATTATCACATATTGCTGAATATGTCTGGTGGTTGTAACAAGTAAAATCTATTTGCTACCTCTCACACCATTTGATGTGTTGATTAACTGTGAGTTTACCCACAAATGGCCTTAATTTTCAGATTGGCTACAGAAGGTTTTCTAAAATGTAGAACACTGAAAAAGAGGAGATAATTGGGATGCTCTCACCATAAATCTGAGGGGTGACTGACAAGTGTACTGTTGATGACAGTCGTGGCGGAACCCCCACCATCCAGGTTAATGGCATTGACGAAGCCAAGGTCAAGCAAGATGGATGCCATCTCTTGGAGGTCAACTCTGAAATATTGAGAGAAAAACCATCAATGTTTGAGGTTTGATTCATAATCATCAACAACGTCTTCATCTCATGCGTAAACTGAGATCTTTTAATGTTAACCCATCTGTGATGTCATCTTTTTATGTAGCATTTATTCAGAGTATTTCAACATTTTCCTTCCATTGTTGGTACGGGTCTCTCTCAGTTCATCTCAAATCTAAAATAGACAAAATTGTTAACACTGCAAGTAAAATCGCCGGAGTCAGATTTGAATGTTTATCATCAATATATGAGCGGCAAATCGTGAATCAAGCTGTCAAAATCATATCTGACTGTACTCACTACTTAAATTCAGAATACAACCTTCTCCCTTCAGGCCGCCGATACAAAGTTCCAATTGTGAAAACTAAGAGAGCCTGTACATCCTTTATTCCAAGTACCATATCTCTCTTAAACAAATGTGAAGATATCTAAATCAAAGAATTTATGTAAATATGTTTGGTATCTCTCTAATGTGTCAGTAGCTCTGCTGATGTAACACAAAATCCTGAAAAGGCATTAAAGTATTATTCTATTCTATTCTATTCTATTCTATTCTATAATACTTAGATTGAAGTGATTGGTTGATATCATGTTATTGACATAGTGCAAGGCATGGTGACAAGACATCAGTTACGTTTGCTTGTTTGTTGTTTAACGCCACACTCAGCAATAATCCAGCTATATGAGGGCTGTCTGTAAATAATCGAGTCTGGACCAGACAATCCAGTGATTAAACAGCACGAGTATCGATCTACACAACTGGGATACAATGACATGTGTCAACCAAGTCAGCAAGCCTGACCACCCGATCCCTTTTAGTCTCCTCTTACCACATGCATGGGTTACTGAAGTAATCTAACCCAGACCTTCATGGGTTACATCAGTCATGAGTTCAATTATAATCAAGACTGGCCTGAACCATTGCCGGAAAAAATATTAACCTTTAGCTGCTGAAATAATTCAGAATTATATAATTTGTACAGACACATGCAGTATAATATCAGTATAAAAACATAATAACTGACAAAATGGTTGAAATGCAGTACAAAATTATATAATAACTGACAAAATGGCTGAAATGCAGAGCAGTATAGGTTAATGTAAAAAAGACATTGGAGAAGAAAAAATAATATAATTGAATGATTGGTCTGTCATTTGTGTGACGTACCATAAGGATAACCAAAATAAACAAAGTGTTCGTTTACATTCATGATGATAAAGACCTCATAAATGAATACTTTTGTTTTTGAATGGGGACATGGGCAAGTAATACTGCATGTTTCCATGGTTACAGAAATTGAGACGACGACAATTGACCATAGTAAACAACAACATCAAGTGGGGATTTTTCAGTGAAAACGTCAGAGGCTACTTCACTGTATTTACCCCAGACTTCCAGTCTTCCCATCAACCTGGGCAATGAGGATGCGGCCATCTTTGTCATGTCCGACTGCGACTCGAGCTGACTTGACTGTAGCAAACTCTCTCAGTGTTCCTGAAATCAGGATGGTATTTACATTTATGATATGGTTGCCAAATTGTTCACATCAGATATTGGACTTTTTACAAAAACTAAAATCGAAAAATCTTGATATTAGTATCTGCTCATTACTTTGGGTTTGTGACATTACACAAAAATATCACAAGTAATCTAACTACATATGCGTGGGATAGGGACACGCACTCATCTCTGAATCCACTACAACCAAATATTTTGAAGTTTTACAAGCTTATGATGTCATTGAGCTTATATACATGTGTGTGTGTATATATACCTGTTTCTTCTGTGTCAGAACACTCTATCTTGACACTCTCGTCCACATAGATCTCCCCCTCCCTCAGGATCCACAACACGCCCCCCACCAGCTGGGTAAAGTGCTGAGTCAGCAGATCCAGCTCGGAGAGATACCTGCACATGGACAAAGAGATTTTCTCTGCATGAAAATGGGAAATAAAGTCAAAGGGTCGTCCTGCCATGACCAACTGTTTGTAACTTATCTGGAAACTTTTTGCTACCTGAGGCCAACCTTATCATTTCCCTGTAAAAATGAAAATCAGTTATTATCAATATCATAACGGTCAAAATGGTTCTGATCAGTTGAGGTGAGATGATAGAACATGCAAATATGCTTATAGTATTGTAATACACTGACATACTGTTGTACATGGTGTTTCATCCAATCTCTGAAGGATAAAGTAATCACGTCATAATACACACAAACTGATGATGATACAAACAATACCATAAATTTCTCATTTTGTTTCAATAAACAACAAAATGGAAAATAACCCATCATTATGTATCATGATTACTATTATTGTCATATTTATATTATTATCATATTATATATTTATATACTGCACTAATCCAGGTACCATAATCAGTTAAATATGATAATTCATGCCAGTTGTCATTCTCTACTTCCTGGTGAGTATACAACTCATACTGTCTATATGTGCCAGATGGTGTTACAACCACCTCACATATTGGGTACCGTCAAATATATTCCTTGTGTGGTTAGCATCGCCACTTTCAAAGACAACTGCCCATAGGGACAGCTTTCATTTTGTCAATTCTGCTGCAGATGGATGAAAGTATATGTGTTTCTTGTCATCTACCATCGGATGGGTGGGTTCTTTCTCAGGGTGAATGTACTGTACATTAGGTACTGTAAACAGAGACCATATAATAGATTATTATATGGTCTCTGCTGTAAATCACGAAAATTTTGCGTCACAATATTTTTGTGAGTGGCTACCAACAGACATTCTTGCATCATGATATTTTTGTGACTTGCCTAATTCTCAAAAATAGATTGCAACTGAAAGTTCTACCTAATGTAAATCTAATGACCAAATTTGTTGATCTCCAGAAAAGTGTGATGAAACCTATCCAGGCACCTGTCTGGACAATCAGACGTACTGATTGAGTAACTTTTCTTCCAGTATGCCTTGTTTGATAAGTGACATGTGAGTACTAGTAGTGCTGGTATTAGTGTTCCCCCAAGTTGTTGCTTAACTGATGTATTGTCTGGATCTGTTGTTGATTAAATGAACTTGGTGAATAATAAACACCATGTTATTTGATTTGATGACTGTTTATTCTGTTTGACCAGTAAATCGTGTCATGATACTTTTGACAGCTCAAGTCATTTGCAATTTTCGCAAATATATCATGCTCGCAAAAATTTCGTGATTTACAGTATAGTGACAGCACCATAAAGACCTGTCAACCTTTTGGTCCACAGGCTAAATAACAAACCAGTCACAGGCAAGATATCAGCACCTGGCACTTGCTGTCTTGGAGCTTTAGACCACTAGCCTGCACCACCTCACACATCAACCCCCCGCTAGCTATGTCCATCAACCACCCTGCATGGTAACAACAAATTGTATTATTCCAGGTCACAAGTTAGACCAGTACTACAAACAATTCCGTAGCCTTACATAAAATTTGAGATACATCTCATAAAAATATGCCAACAATTCAAAAATATTCTGCCCATTTATTGTGGTTAAAAATAAATAAAAGTAGATAAGTCAGTATTTCCACAAATTTAAACTAGCCTGTTCATTTCTCAGTTTTTAAAGCTCTGGTCCTGTTTAATGTTTTCTCGTATTTGTCTACAAGATACTTGACCACAGATATTTTACAACTTTTGATGTTCAATACCCATACAATGCCTAAACACTACAAAAATGTGTTTTGTGACATATGTAAGCGGGAACAGACACATTGAACACAATCTTTTTAATGGACTACACAAATGTATGACTTGGCACGTGCTACATGCTGTAAAACGAAGGCTCGCTTGTGTTAAGGTCAGACTGGGTTGACATCTCATCAATGTGCTAATGTACATTAAAATGTAATATGTTTCATAGCTCATCAAACAGGCAGAAAGTACAACATATTTTCATAGCTTGTTGCAATCAGACGCACAATAGTTAGCTACAAGGGAAGTGGACTTTCGGTGCCATAGATACCAAAATACTTTTAACTTCATATACTGAACATCACTGAAAACACACCACCTATAAATTTTGAAATATGGTAATAGGATTGTTTTGAGAGTGAAAATGAATGTTGGAAATGTTGTTAATAACACAAAAGACAATAAATAATGCTGTACAATAAAGAACGTATTGCCCGAACACATCATGGAACACATCACATGACAACAACAAAATTCATGCACAACACACACACGAAAAGTACAAATTGCATGCGTAAAACATGCTGATTAGGGGTATAAATGACCGTCGGCAAAAAAACGTTCTCATTTTAGCTGTACCTCCGCAAGTAAAGTTTATTTTGCAATGCCAAGATTGTCACCAGAGGAACGAGAACGGGCGTTGGGCATGTTGCAGGTTGGCACATCAAGCAGGATTATTGCCAGACGATTTGGTTGCCATCATTCCACCATCATAAGACTTGCCAACAGGTACCAACAAACAGGAACCACCAGGGACCGCCAAGGTCCTGGCCAGGTACACGTTACCACCCCTCGCCAAGATTGAGACATTGTTCGGCGTCATATTCAGGATCGTACGTTGCCAGCTGCCAGAACATTACATGGGATTACATCGGCCAACGCCTCTCACGTCGCCCACAGATCAACAACCTTGGGGAACTTGAGAATGCTTTGCAACAAGAGTGGAATGCATTGCCTAAAAATATTATTCAGAGACTTATCAGTTCAAGGAGGAGACGTTGCACAGCTTGTGTTGCTGCTGGTGGTCATACACGTTACTGACTTTCCAATTTGACTCCATCTTTCTTTCATGGTCAGCTGAATTAAAAGTTCAGTTTTGCTGGTTCTTTTCTTTACCAATCATTGGACTACAAAAGTATGCAAAATATACACCTATTGCTCATTCATGCTCTTGGAAATCCAAACTAATACAGGTGGTGCGTTTTCAATGATGTTCAGTATATTTAGTTTCTTGTTACATATTGTCTAAAGAGATTCATGTCTAGTTCCCCATATCAATTACCTTAATTACATCATAAATTTATGAAGAAATTCACTTTTAGTTCACACTTACTACATACGAGGAAATTCATGTCTACTGAATTGTTTAACATTCACAACGGTGACACCAGTGTGTGGTTTTCTGTTACACTTTAAAGTCTGAACTAAAGGTAGTTACATTTCCACTAAGCAACACAACCTGCAGCTCAATCCTGTCCAAAATTATATAACAATCAGTGTTCACGAATAGCGTCGGACCCTCGGATAATTCCGGCAGATTTGCCAACGGTCCGATGGAAGTCTACAACCCGCCGACGCCAGTGTCCGACTGTATATTTCACAATGACTGACTGAATTCGTTATATGTGACATATGACACTTGTTTGCTGTTTATAAATTTTACACTTGTTAATAATTTCAATGCCAATTATAAGAAATATCAAACCTGAAATGTGCTTGATTTTTAAAAATTCTACGGTTCTTGTGAATTTTCAGTGGGTCAGACAGACATCTGAAACTTATAGGACCCAATGTCTTGTTACTTTGAAACACCATTCAGGATCACTGAACAATTACATGCCATATCTACAACCCTAACCAACACTTATCTCAGCTTCAGTGGAACATATAGCCAGGCATTATAAATAATGACCGACCACCTGTTTAGAATCACAAACATGCCACCGTCATCAATATTTCACAGTCTAGCATACAGCCTACACAACAATCTTGAAATTTGAGAATAACTGTTGTCATTGCTTTCAGTAATATTGCAGTACACAGACAATTGTGGGCGAGCGATTTGAAGCATCAGTATACATTGTACAGTAATTTGTTTCTTAACGTTTCATATCATATTATCCCTGTACTATCACAGCAGTTTCGGAAGATGACATTTCCGTGATGAACTGCATCAAATGTCTGCCATGATAGCTACATCCAAAACAACTCTAGAATATTGTGAGCAAAATAAAAAATTTCACTTCCTGGGATAAGATGTAACAAAAAAAAGGATCCTATACATGAAACCTGATCATCCTAGCACTTCGACTGTCATACATCTAGATTAAAGTATGGGAATAATGATCTTCTTAGCACTAAGATGTCTTTGTGAAGTGGGACAGGTTAACACGGAGAGGTGAAGGTTGGTTGTTCAATCGCCAGCCTCATCAACCCAAACGATGTTAAAAGATGGGTCTTGTTGTTACCCTGCCTGGTGTTGGCACTAAGTGGACAGTGCAATGATATCTGTATCTTCTGTTTGAGTGGGCTAATTATTTCATTAAGGCTGTAACGATTCACTCGCATATTCGGTGAATCGAAACCGTAGCCCTTCATGAATTCAATTCGTTATTCGTCAGGTCACCAGAACTGAATATTAATGAATATTAATGAATATTTACGATTTTTTAAGGGAGCATGTTTTACTTGAACCCTTATGTCCTTTTCCAAAGTGAGATATGCAAGGACTGAATATGTACTAGCATTGCAGTAGTGCAAGTCATGTTAGTTTGCCAAGACTGCACGTGGTACTGTCGACTATAACTATTACATACCAAATTTGAGTGTCATGAGATCACTGGTAATTGCTGTGACAAATCAAAACTGTCAACATGGGCGTTCCATATTGTACATCAATCACTTAACTACAATATTGTATTCGTGAATAATTTTTCTTATTGGTTACCCAATATTCATGATACGTATCATATTCGCCACATAGTGTATTCGTTGCAGCCCTAGTATTCATGTTAAAAAAGAGACATGGTATCTATAGTATGACCAGAAATTATTGAGAATTTTAGGAATATGTTTAATTGGATTTCTAGTCTAAACAACCTTAACCGGCTATCAGGTGCTTGGTTTCATTCAAGAGAGACAACTCTGTTAATCCTTTTTCATTCGTTTGTTAAGAGTTATCCCCCTTTGTTTACTAGCTAGCAGACGACATTTATGGATGATTTAGAGAAGAGGAATTTGATTTTAGAGTATTATAACATGGACATCAGATCAGGTAAAGTGATTTCAAGTAGAACAGGCATCCGTTTGTCCATTGTTTATCGTTTTTGAAAAATATTGCAAATCGATATGGCATTGAGCGCAGGGAGGCGCAGGTTAGGCCCTGAAAATTGACTGTCGGTGACAGGAGGTGGCTGGGTATTCTTGTTTCTAAAAACAAACAAAGGAGTTTAGAAAACTTAAGGCTGGATATGATTGATAGAGGAACTGTGGCTGTCTGTAAGGAGACAATTAGAACTGAGCTGCATGCCATGGGTTGGCAGAAAAGTCGAGCGAAGGTTGAAATGGTGCTTACAGCATAGAAATTTTAACTGGGACAATGTGATTTTCTCAGATGAAAGTTCTGTGTGGCTGTTTCCTAATACACTGAAATTCTGGACCAAACAAACTGAAAAATCTTTGTATCAGCGCCCAAAGTACAGTCCGAAATTTAACGTGTGGGGTGGCATATCTGTTAGGGGCAACGCCCCCCTCTGTGTATTTGAAGGGAATATGAACAGTGAGCGGTACACAGATATTCTAGAGGGACATTTACTTCCATCTGCTCACGTGTTCTATGGAAATGTTTGGATTTTCCAGCAGGACAACGACCCAAAACATCATTCAAAGCATTCACAGGCCTGGTTTCAGACCCAAAATATGACATTATTAGATTGGCCAAGCTATAGCCCTGACCTAAATCCAATAGAAAATGTTTTGGGGACTTATGAAGGAAAGCGTCAATATGAAAAATCTGACAAATATTGCTGAAATGAAAGAAGAGGTGGTCCGATATTGGGACAGCATGGACCACAACTTTCTAACTTCTGTGATCAGTAGTATGCCCCACCGCATTGAAGCCTGCATTGCTGCCCATGGTGACTTGACAAAATACTAAGTGTTCACCTGTCTTTGAATGTGGAATTATGTTCTGCTAATATTCACATTTAATTTGGAGTAATGAGTGAAATTTCTTTTAAAAATTACAATCTTTAAATTCTCAATAATTTCTGGTTGTACTGTACGTGGACTAGCACTATAAAACCAGCTTCTGTCTGCACTCTCATAAGTACAAACAGCTACGTGAAAGATGGTTTGTTGGTTTGTTTAACACCGCGCTCAGCAGTATTACAGCTATATGGCATCGATCTACGCAATTGGGAACCGATGACATGTGTCAACCAAGTCAGCAAGCCTGATCACCTGTTCCAGTTAGTTGCCTCTTACTACAAGCATGGGTTGCTGAAGACCAATTCTAACCCGGATCTTGACGGGTGCTACTTGAATGAGCCAGCATAGTTTTACACCGCTATTAGCAATATTCCAGCAACATCACGGTTGGGACACCAGAAATGGGTTTCAAACAGCTACGTACTTAGGGTGAGCAGACAATAAGCCCACTGGGATAAAAAGCCCTCTGACAAAAAAACCCTAGGCTAAATGCCCCCAGGACAAAAACCTTGCAAATTTCAACCCATAGGATAAAACACCCTTGGTGTATATTTTGAGTTGACAGGTGATAACATGATGTTTTCTAAGCAATTCCTCCCACTGCTGCCAGTTGTTACAGGCTCCTCAGTGACGACGTTGTTATTGTAACAATGGAATGAAGTCTGCTAAATGTTGTTTCAGAGAACTGGCTTAAATTGGTCACTTCCTCTTATGTTTGATTTCGTTGGGCAGGACACAATATTAGACTGGTAAGAACTGTAGTACAAGTATCAACTGCACAACTGTATTATGTGCTTGGTGATTTACATTTGTGAAGTATGTGCTATTACATATGCTATTTAATGTTATATTATATTGTATTCATGTGGGAATGAAAAAAAGATTTGTTGGTATTCTATTACATCTCTTCATTGAGGACCTTTTGTCCTACCCATTGAGGGCTTTTTGTCTTGGGGGCATTTAGCCTAGGGGTGTTTTGTCTGAGGGTGTTATGTCCTTGTGGGCCTATTGTCCTACCACCGTACGTAGCTATATACATGCATGTACAATGTTATATCACAGCAACATTGAATCCCAGGAAGACACTATAGGGAATATTCCCTAATGATGATCTTGAGGATGCTCAGCATCAGAAGCACAACTTACCCTACATAGATGTATCCATCTGCAGTGACCCCAAAGTGGGCATTCTGCACCCCATCTGAGTCTCCAACCAGTCTTCCATCACTGTAGATGTTGCCTGGAAACACAGCAGTGAGTTTCAGTCCTGAACAATAATTCAGTTACCATGGTTATATCATGCAGAGTTCAAATGTAACATATGTCCTGTGTCTTTTAACATCCTGTGATATTTGAGATAAATGTTTCAATTCTAACTTAGTTATGACCACAATGATAAGGACACCAAACATTCATTGTTCTTTCTAATACTGTAACTTCATGCCAGATTGAAATGGTGGAACCCATGAAGTGGATATGCAACAGACACACATTAGGTTAGTGAAACACACCAGGATGGGTAGGGTAGGTTTTGTGAGGTTGGCAGAGCAAATATCAAAATCTGGGCTAAGATGGTCCAGGGCTCCAGATAATTTTTCAACATCAGGAGTACGTACTCCTTATTTTTGCAGTATAGGAGTACTGGAAAACCTTAAGAGTACATTTCGAGTACTGAATGGAATTTAATGCAGTATCAGTAATCTTGTGTTTCGTTTCATATATGCACCACAACATTGCTACTCTTGTGTAAATGGGGCAATAAACAATAAAAAAATACCTTTTCAGATAAATACATCTGTAAATGATTCTGAGACTGTACACCACCACTACGTTTTCTAAATTATTTCCTACCGTATCATGCATATTTTTTAGCCGCACATACGCCGATAAGGCCCCCTCTGGAGCCCTGATGGTCTATCTTGAAATGTATGTCAACTTTGAAGTAGTGTATAACTAATAACATTTGTTTTCTTTCCAACATTCACAAGGGTTTTGTCGTGCTCCATTTTGTGTTTGTTGTTTTACGCCGTACTCGGCAATATTCCATATAGTCTATAAATACTCAAGTCTGGACAAGACAATCAAGTGATCAACAGCATGAGCATTGATCTATGCTCAAATTAGTGAGTATGGCTTTAAAGTAACAAAAACATATCTGTTTTTGAACCTCACAAAAGACCAACTACCAAACACCTATTATATTCTTTCACAATATGTTTATTTTGCCGCTACCTACATTTCACTGAGAAAACTGACTTGCATGTAAGACATGCTCATGTTCAAATATAAAAGACATGCTCATGTTCAAATATAAGACTCGTTGACTTGATTGACACATGTCATCGTATCCCAATTGTGTATATTGATGTTCATTCTGTTGATCACAGGATTGTCGGGTCCAGACTCGATTATTTACAGACCACCGCCGTCTAGCTGGAATATTGCTGAGTGCTACATTCCGCAACAACCAACCAATCAAACATAAGAGAAAAGCCCTAAAAGTATAACACAGTTTTGACCAATTCTGATTCATGTTAAGAAATTGGATGACTTATATAACAAAGGTATCTTAAAATATACAGATCATTACAGCTTTTTGAAAGATTTTTGTCAATCATCATCTTGATTTCCCTGTTTATTCTATAGTGAGAGAGTCAAAATTTTATTTGTAAGGACACAAAGACTGTTGACAGCTGGCAAATAATACAGTGTGTTAGGTGTGGTTGGTCAGCTCCGAAGATGACCTGTCAGTGACCTGTGACCTGTGATTGTACAGGATGGTTGAGTTACATCTACCAACAACAGCCTGTTATCTCCAGTCCAGTTCCAATATCCCAGTATGGATCGTGGAAACAGAGAGTTCACATTTCACTCTGACTGACTGAATACGAGCAGATCATATTACTTTCATATTACTTTCGTTAATCTGTCATGTAATGATCAACTTTTGTCATAAAAAACAGGTGTTATTTAATATTTTATTAATATTCATAAGCTAATCTTTGAATGACATCAATTTTCTGCAGCTTCAGTCCCCCGAGTTTGTACTAGTCCAGTTTGAACACGACAAAAATGTTCATAATGTTTCCATTTTCTCGGAGACATATTCATTTCAAATTTGTAACAAAATAAAACCATTAGAACAGGTTCATATTCCAGCCCTCAAATGCTATAAACAGACATAAGAACAGCAAAGGGGGTATTTTTTGCAGATTTACATCGATCTAAAAAATGTTCAAAATGAAACCAAAAACCTTCGAAATCTGCGGATCTGTAAAAAATTCTTATGTCTGTATAAATCACTGGGTATCATCTTTGGATTTTTACTTACCCTCAGCACCTTATAACACAGGTTCAAGGACTAGCAGTTGATCACTGGATTGTCTGGTCCAAACTCGATTATTTACAGACCTCCGCCATATAGCTGGGATATTGCTGAGTGAGGCGTAAAACAAAACTCACTCACTCACTCAAGGACTAGCATGAATTCTGAAGGCTGCAGTATAAAGAAATCAATGGCACAGTTTGGGAGGTTGCATGCCAGAGTCTTAACTTCTGTCCTTTGATGACATGAGACAAGGGGCAGTGGGGTATGCTCATGCTGTTGATCACTGGATTGTCTGGTCCAGACTCGATTATTTACAGACCGCCACCATATTGCTGGAATATTGCTGAGTGCGGCATGGAACTAAACTCACTCACTCACTTAACGTTTATGACTGTCTCGCACACTTTCAAGTAGTCATTATGCTTCATGAATACAATGGAAAATCAAAGTCAATAAGAATCAGAATTTTGTTATCGGTTACCAGACCACTGAGACTAGTAACAATCTAGTTGTTTCTTCAAAATTCTAGTTATTTTGAATAATCACAAATCTGAAATGATGTTATTGTGTGATCGGCATCCTAGAATTTAGTGAGTAAATAGTAAACCAAACATTTTTATGGAAAATAACTTTTTCTATATTGCAAAGAGTGACAATTTGTGGTAGATTCATATTAGCATATTAACATCAAAATATACATCAAAACGTCATCCTATGCTTTAAACAAGAAGTTGTTATCCGTAAAGTTGTATGCATGATCTGCATGATTTTGTTACTTACACTTGTATTGTTTATAATTAACATAGCCTGCATCACTGAGTTTTCATTATGGTAGCCTTGACAGGTAGGTGTCATGTTAATTTGAGTGAGTTTGGTTTTACGCTGCTTTTAACAATATTCCAGCATATCACAGCTGGGGACACCAGAAATGGGCTTTACACAATGTACCGATATCATGGGGAATTGAACCAAGGTCTTTGGTTGACAAGAACACGTTAACCAATAGGCCACCCCTCATGTCAATATGAGTACTTGGAAAAACATATACAAACCCTGGTTATACCTGGAGAATACCACGCACTTATTACACACAGACATACATTTTCAAAACAAGGCCCTCAACTCTGATGTAACAAGCTTATAACTGACCACAACCCTGTGCACTTAAAAGAACCCACAGATCCGTTGGTATATGACCAGATGGTGGCAAACACCTACGGTAGTTGCGGGTACAGCAACGTGCAGTAAACTTGGACAAAGTACAGTGACCATGTGTCCCACTCCCAGTCCACCCAGCTGTGAATGGGTACCTCGTAAGGATGGGAAAGCCTCAATAACTCGGTGTGCCTAGTGGCTGCAAGAGTTGTATGATCCCCAGGGAGTTGAGATTGATAATACAATGTGCTGTTGAGACTGGCATCCAATGATCGAGAGAAAAAATACCAGTGCCTTGAGCATGTACTAGTTGCGTACATATGTGCGGTATATAATTATCCTATAAAAATGTAATTTAACTGCTCCTTTGCACCAGAAATATTTTTCCAGAAATCCCTAAAAAAGATTGTCTTGCCCAAAAACCATTATTTCACTGATGTAAACTTTATTCACACATGGCAGAACAAATGTAATATATATGGAAATCGTAAACGTAAATTATAGAGATGTCAACTGTGTTAGCAATGACGAAGCATACAGAGTATTCCTGCATGAAACAAGACACGAGCAGCTGTTGCAGGGATGTGGTGGTAGCAGCATCAGTGACAGTCCCAGGACCACTGATGCTTAGTCTCAGATAATATAACATGTTGTTAGACTGACTGACTGACTGATTTTGGTTTTACGCCGCTTTTAGCAATATTCCAGCAACATAACGGCGGGGGACACCAGAAATGGGCTTCACAAATTGTACCCATGTTGTTAGAAATATCAGCTACAAAATAACTCAAAGTAGCTCTGATGTAATGGGAGACCACATATCAAATTTTAATGGGTCTCCATTTCAATTGTTTCTATTAGAATTATATAGACCTGTGGAAAAGCATTTCAAATAATAGAACATTTGTATAGAAACAAGCAGCTACAATATAACTGACAGTAGCCCTCGTGAAAATATTGGGAGAACAAATCTCAGAGTTTAACGGGTCTCCTTTTCAATTGTTTCTATTAGAATTATATGGACCTGTGGCAAATCATTTCATTTAGTGCTGCAGCATAACAGGAGGGTTTGGTGGAAGGACAAAATAATATGATTAATAATATGAATAATATGACAGATATGACAATTTATCATCTAATGGAGGGTGTTATTGGTGCACTGTAATGCAATCTGACAAAACTTGGTATCCAAATCTGATAACTATGCAAATTACATCAATCCACGCACGCACTACTTTCACAAAACTCCACACATGCCGTGCGAATCCTAAAACGTTAACATTTCATTGATGACGCTGTCGCGAGTTTACATTGCGTGGACGAGTTTGTAAACAAACATGGCTGCCCCCATTATCAAACTTGGTGATTCTGTAAGAATTGATAACAGAGGTTCTGGATTCGTTACTGCAGTAATTGACTTTGGAAAACATAAAACGGAGTAATTGCTCAAATTGAAGGTACGGATTATGAGGCACGAATGAAAGGCGATCATCTAAGAAAGGTACCAACCGAGGAATTTGATCTATCGATCAAAACACAAACGACGAATCGATTCCGTCAGGTATCAGAAACTGATATTGATGAGGTGATTACCCGCAAAATAGAAACTAGAAACACTGCCAAGAAAATGCTGCCCGATTTTTTGGTTCTTTTTAGACAGAAAGGTCTTATTCCATGCATGAGTACTGTTTGCACTGTATTAGCAACTAGTCATAACCATATGCCGTCGTCATGACCGACCTTCACCTTGGTGTACC